GTACATTCGCAATATGCGTAGTGGCTAGTGGCTTTCGCCTATCTTATATGCCCCCTCATCTTAGTTGCCTGTCTAGTTGTCGTCTTAAAGAGCTTGACTCGCTGTCGCGCGCTATCCACCTCACTGTTGTGTTGGCCATAAGCGTAGGCAATATTCGCACCACTTGACCGAGCCTATTTTTATCTGAAATGCACTTCTTTCAAGCCTCATTTGCCTATCAAATTGTTATAATACTAGCTTATTTTGTTGGCAAGACATAGTGAGTGCAGTCGTTGCACGAAACGCTGAGAGGCATTGAGTTGAGTGTAGAGTAAGTACATATGTACATATGTATGTGTGTGTAAATAATTTAAAGTTGTATTTTAGAAAAATAGCGGTATAATTTTACTTCATACCATTTTTTGGAAGGGTTACAACTAAGCAACGAAGTTAAATATAGAAGTTTTTTGATGAGTAAACATCGCAGTTCTCGGTAAGGTAAGCGGAAAATTTGTAATTGCTTCTTTCGGTCGAAATATTTTTATAAGGTGATATTTGAAACCCAACCGAGGTGATTAATATTTTCAGAAATATTTTGGCGGAGGTCCAAAATTGTAACAGATTTTATAAATCTGATGGAAGAACAGTACCGATTTGTTCTTTGTTTTTGTTTTTGTATAAAGAGTGATGCACCCTAATGTACATATGTTAACAAAACGGCATGTCGGTGAACATTGGCGTGTGCATTATAACTAAAAGGAAACCTTTTAAAAGAAATGAATAAATTATATCCACGGTATTTTTTTCAGACGCACTTTCGACGTCTAGTGAGTACTTGTGCGAGTAATCGTATAATACAACTAAACTATAATCGGTTCATGGGGTAAAATATTAACTTGAAAATTTAAAAAAAAAATTAAATATTAAATAATAGTCAAGACAACCATAGGTATCTAATTCCCAGCACTGAATTTTTGATTCAATATTTGCGCATTTCTTCATTTCACTTGCATATAAATACATACATACATATGTATGTAAATATCATTTGCATATTGTTACTTTGCAATTATTAGATATTTATTATGATCAGACCCTTACCATAGCCTAGCTCCAATATTAGCTAAGTGTACATATGTATATGTATGTAAGCGCGCGCATGCGCATGTGTATAAACATATGTACATAAATCAAATTAAATGCATTAAAATGCGCATGGGACTGCACCCAGCGCATAACAACAACAACAACAATAACAACAATGCATTAAGGTGACAACATAAATACCAAGTGACACTCTTGCCATACAGTAAATAAAACCATTAATGCTTTGCAATAAGTTTACCATACAGCCAGCTATGCTCGTAGAAATATTCAGCTGAAAATGCAGCAAAATTTCTGGGCCTTTTTTCTTTACAGCGATCCAAAAATTGCAATAAATGCGCTCGTTATTTGACGCTTAATTGATTCGCCGGCTGGTGTTTGGTAGTTTACAGAGAGAGCTGCACGCACGCAATCTTACGCACCACACCAACGCAAATGTTTGAATTTTCAGCTGGTGCGCGCAATGAATCGCTAATGTGCAGAGGTGGGCACTACCACAATCAAGCGTGAGCTAAAAGTGAGAATGTGTTAGTGTGCCTAATTCATTTTGCATGCTGTCGTGTTCTCATCGCTGCGCTCTCGCTTGTATACGTACACGCGACGCTTACGCTCTTTTAGCACCTGCTAACTCTCTGCCCATGCCTGCTAATGTGTCACTCTTTTAGGAAAGCGCACCAAAACGGAATTGGAAAAACATAAAAATAAAATACATACAAAAGCATAAAAATTGCAACAACTACCTACACACATATTATTTCTTTGTATAAAAATAAGTATGAAACCCTAGCGCGGTCTGAACGCTACCTCGTTCGTTCGAACGACTGTTCGTTCTGTATTTATTGTTTTTCGAAATGCGGAAATGACACACCCAATAATTTGACTGTTTTTTTTCATTTTCTTCATGCAACTTGATTGTTGTAAATTCGCATAATTGCCAACGACTGAAAGCAGCAAGCAATGTGGCAACTCGAAAAAAGCGGAGGGCCGAGGGGGGTAGGGGGGGGTGGGGGGGCGGGATAACTACAAATGTGAGAAATAAGGGGCCACTCATTAGTGCTGCAGCCAATTGTTTTGCTCTTTTCGCGGTCGCTTTAGTTTGTAACTCGTGCGCTCGCGATACTTCTAAGCTCGGTTTCATGCAGCCGTCGTCTCCACTTTGATGACGCATCCGCTGTATGTTTTTTTTTTTTTGGAATTCGCGCACACTTACAATGGATGAGTGAGTCACTCGCTGCTTCATCAGCAGATCGACGAAAACTGCTTGCTTGCTGCCGCAGGGTATGCCATAAATACAGAGCATGAAAACAAAAAACTATCTAAAAGTTTGCACTGAGGCTTCGTTCACTGGCGCATTGGGTCACTAGAATGTTCTTGCTTGCTTATTATTCTCTCCTCTTTACGTAACAATTACAATGTTGTTATTTGATTTGCTTTTAATTACATTATGCCGATTTGCAAATTCAAAAATATTATTTTTTTTTGTAGCCGGTAGTGTTGCATCGTGACATGTGTGTAGGTTCATAGGTATTTACTTACATGCAATCTGACGGCATATCACGTTCCGCTGTCGTTCGAATTTCACTGTAATTCGATAAAGTGTTTCATGACAAGTTTTTTTTTTTTTAAGTTGTTATTTATTTTTGTAATTGCGCGCACAACAATTTCGAATGCATTTGAAAGTTGCTTGCATACTTGTTTTGGCTTTTTAATTTGTCAGCGAGCGTTTAGTTAAAGTATGCGATAATTGCAAAAATGGAATAATTTCAAGGTCTGACTGAATCCTAAGCAATGCAGCATTCCCGATGAGCAATTCTGGTAATTAGTTTGAAAAAATAATAATGGTGAAATATTTATGTGATCGAAAAATTCATTTGTGAGTCATTGCATTGCCGTTGCCTCCTCTCATATACTTTTGTATGTAAGTATCTGGATTTCCTCAATCGCTGTTACGTCAGGTTGAAGTAACTGCCGATGGACACACCGCAACGCCAGCTAACTTAGGCCCTCCATCGGGACCATTGCGGTACTATAGAGGATGTTATTAACCGCCTCTCCATACAAGCCAAAATGTGCACTTGACAAATTTGAGCAATAGGCTTATCTTCAAACAATTTACCCGAAGAGATTTTTGGGGAAATGTCGCTGGAGTGGCAGCCGGTCGTTCCGGTCACGTAGTTCCGACCGTCGTGTCCCAGTTACGTTTAGGTAAAATTTTGGTGGCTAGCCCTTATTAAAGGTCTCCCTTGAACCGTGGACATAGGTCCTTTGTGATACCACTGCGGACGGTAACTGCTAAGTTAGAGCGAGAATTGCTGAGTGCCGAGAACGAAGTTGCGCAGGCGGCAAATGTTAGTTTAGGAAACTTCCTCCGGACTTGTCGCAAAGTATGAACCCAAGTGCCTAAGCCGCAATCTAGCAAAAGCTTCCAAGTTATCGCCTTCCATACTGCTGCGATAAAAGGGGTCTGTTAAGATATTTAATATAACTGCATGAACCCCGATAGGAAAATGGCTGCTCAGTACACCCACTAGAACCGTGAAATCGCCAAAAAGACCACGCCTAGCACATGCCCTGGTTGTTCTCCAGCGTTCGCTGAGTTGACCCGAATCCCACTTTTCCAAGAGAAGTCCACAAGTACTCCCAAGTACAAGTACAAGGGAACTCCCACCATCTCTCTTCTTGGCGGTAATTCCACAAGTGTGTCGCCTATGGCCAGTTCAACAGCCACACAGTTTCCTGCGATCACAAGTCTGACAAAATAATATTTCGACGCTATCGAAAATGACTTAAGACATTCACCCACTAAGCTTCGAGCGTACCGTAAATGAGCCTAGGGCTCTAACAGCCGCCTGGCTGTCAGCAGATTTTAACCTCCCTTTACGCCATGACGCGTTACAGCAGACAACCGACTGCTTCCTTAATAGCAGCAACCTCCGCCTGAAAAACACTCCAATTAACTGGAAGCCTAAATTAAAGCTTGATGGATAGCTCTATAGGAAAGACCTCTCCTCCGACTCTTCCGTCAAGCTTACATCCGTGTAAAAGTTCAGCGGAGCGCAGTTCTTGTAGGAATGTAAGCACCGTGGTTCATGCTATATTCTTTCAAGGCGGGATTGCAAAATTCTAGTTGGGGTACTTACCAGACGTGCTCTCAGACCATTTCATGTGTTCACGTTGGAACTGATACAGATGAAGAATACATGGGATGTAACAAACCTAGTTCCAAAAGCATACTAGGACATCTCTGGCTTTCGAAAGATCCCCAACCACCTACTTTGGCTTTAATTTTTCCGCCTCACTCAAGGAAATTGCAGACCAACGAGCTAGAAAAACTACACTGAAGATGGCACAACACCGAAACTGGTTAGCCTCCAAACCAAAGTTGACAAGGGATGACGGAAATTCGTTCCAAAATAAATCGACTATAAAAATTTTAAAACACAGTAAAAAGCCCATAATGACTGTGGTTTGAGACGGCGACCTCCCTTTCTAAGTAACATAAAGGACCAACTTTTGGTCGAACTTAATAGCTATTGCCCTATCCTAGCTTCCCTTTAGGTTTTAAAATTATAAAATAAGCTTCGTTTCGAAAACGCAACCCCATAATTTTGGTACACCCGAAATTTTTTTGATAACGCGACGCGCAAAGAGAATGATCTAGTAAAGCCTACATGCTCCACACATTGCAGACCTTTCGCAGGATTCATGGTAAATCAAACGCATCCATCAAATTTCACATTACCAGCAATAAAGTTAAATCAACAAGTTACTCCTGCCGTGAGAGAGTACAGTTGAGATGCATACCATTTTTTATCTTAACCACATTTTTAACTACCTCTAAGGATATGTGTATGTACAAGCAAATAAGCTCCTAATTCTTACGTATGTTTACTTTTCAAATGTAGCTCAAAACTTACCATTTCCAGCAGCAAAAGCCGCAATACGCTGCTTAACGGATGTCCGTGGCAGCGTCGACATTGCCTGAGTTTCCTGCACAACGCTGTCCTCTGCACACGCCGCCTTCGCACCAACGTTATTATATGCTCGAGCTGTCACCGTCGCTGTGACAATGCTTTTCGTTGGCGTAGTTGGTGTGGTCGCCGGCGATGGTGATTTCGATGACTCCGTCGAAGGGGTACGCTTCACCATTGTTGTTTTGATCACAGTTGTTAGGGAAGGCGTTGTTGGGCGCGACGACGTTGGTGTTGGTGTTGGTGTTGGTGATGCGGCAGTGTTCCGCAATTGCACCGCTGATGGAACTGTCGATGCGGTTGCCGACCTACTCATTGGCGCACTGGCGGACGCGCCGGTTGTAGTATGGCCAGCCATGCTAGTCGTTGTTCTCGCGCTGTTGGGCGCAATTTCCGCTGAGGCGGTCGTTGTCGAAGCGTTGATTGCTTCGCCGTTTGTTGTCGTAGATGTCGTTGTTGTCACTGTTGCTGTTGTTGGGGTTGCTGTAACTGTCAACCCACACTCGACACGCGAATGCTTACGACTCGCCGCATTCGTTGTGGTTATTGTCATTTTATTCTGCAAATCAATTTTGTTGGCGCTTTCGTCGTCGCCGTCGTCGTCGTCGTCGTCGTCGCCGTGGCTGTCGTTTTCGCGTTTGTGGCTTTTGTTTTTGTTTTGGCTATATTTATGCTGTGTATTCGTTCGATTCGAATCGGGCGCGGTCTTCGTTGGCGCTGCTGTCGTTGTAGATGAGTCAAGCTGGCAATTAACGACGAACTCTTGTGGCTCACTACTCACTTTATGATTGTTGCTTTTGTTTTTGCAAAAATTACTGTGCAAGTGTTGTTGTTGTTGTTGTTGTTGTTGTTGGGTTTCCTTACGATTATTATTGCTATGCTTAAATTCACTTACGCTAAGTCTTTGGATTGTTTGTTGATCGCTGTTATTGTGGTTGTTAATGTTGTTGTTGTTGTTGTTGCTTTTGTCGTTGCCTAGCCCGTTACTAGCTAAATGGTTTTGTTGCTGCAGTTGCAGCTGCAGTTTCAGCGCCGTTAAATCGCCTTCATCAACAGCATTTTTATCACTTTTACTTGCACCACCCGCACAATTGTTGCTAGCAACTGTTGTTGTTGCTGTTGCAACGTTTTTTATGTCCGCCACTTCTGGCTGACAATCGCATTCAATCAGCTCGTTGTTGCCACTCTGACCGTTACCACTGGCGTTTGTGTGGCTTTTTCTATCCCAGATGTTGCTGTCAAAGCTATTGTTCTTGCTGTTGCAATTTTTGTTATTGTTATTGTTAGTTTTGCTGCTGCTGCAGTTGCTGTTGTTATGACAGCTTTTGTCATGCCGCCATTGTTGCTGTTGATCTGCTTTGAGGCATTGCATGGGCAACTCTAATCTCGATTCCAATTGTGTTTGTGGTTGTTGTTGTTGTTGTTTTTGTCGTTGCTGCAGCACTACCAATTGTTGCTGTGCATTCATTAGGTGCACTTCACAATTTCCGGCATTGTCGACAACATCGCAGATATCATCGTAATCGTCGGCATAGTTGGTGGTGATGTGTTCTTGTTCTTGTTGTTGCAATCGCTGCCACTTACCATCCCTTTCACGCTTACTATTACTACTTTTAAATCCCTTAGTGCTGGCTATCGCCGCTATGCTATTTGTGCAATAATTGTTGCTACCGTTGCGTGCGCTGCTGCTCCGTTCACTACTATTGCTACGTTTACTACTTTTGTTGTTGTTGCGGTTGCAGCTATCCCGTTGTTCCACATCATCGATGTATGAAAAATCATTACCTAGGAAAATGTTACGCGCGTCCAGGGTGGATTTCGCTTTGGGATGCTTCAAGTTGTAACGTCGACGATTCGGGCAACAACAGAATTTTGTGGCCTTCGGAGAGGTGGGCGAGGCGAGGGGTGGGAAGGAGTTGGTGGCAGTTGAGGCAGCAGCATCAGTCCATTTCTCAACTAAGGCCAACTCACGAGCCCTGGACATGTCAGCAAATGGCCATGGAGGGTTCGAAAGCGCAGGGTTGCCGATAAGCAGCTCTGAAAGGACAAAGAGAGAGAGAGAGAAAATTAATGAAAATATGTGGTATAATGCAATTTTGATAAAAAATAAATTAAGGAATAGTTGCAGATATTCTTAGATTTGTTGATCAGTAAAACAAGCCAGCAACAGCCCACAACTAAATAAATAGTTAAAGTATAACAGATAAGCTTACTCAAGTTAGTCTCGAAAACAAACTGAATACCGTATGTCGGAATTTCATTTCAAAATAAATTGACTGCCAAATTCTTATAATATAATGGCACAACTTGGTAAAAACGTCGATAACAATGTTTAACCAGAGATACGTGTTAACCAGACATTTCGTAACCGGCGCTAAGTATAGAGCTAGTTAAGTGCTACACAACGGTCCAAAGAAATAAAAAAAAAACACAAATGTTTTTCCTTGCTGTAACTCATTGAAACTTACGTATGGAAATACCCATATATGATCTGTAGGTAATATTTTTCCTAACTACGAGAAGTGGGCGGGTTGTCACGCCCACTTAAGAGTTTTCAATAGCTCTTAAAATAATCATAACAGAAACATGAAACTCGAGAAAACTCGTTATTTTGTAGCACACAATCGAAATTTAATGAAGTCGGTGAAAAAAATGGACGCAGTGCCTCGCCTACCATAAAAGTTTGAATATAAAGGTACGTCGGGCAAAATGGTATATCTATTTATTTTCTGATCATAACTTCGAAAATGTGAATGCGAAGTTTTTAATCTGAGAAAAGTTCAAAAGTGACACTTCAGAAAACAGGTGGGTAATGTCGCGTATAGCAATAAAGTAAAAATATAGCATAGTTGAAATTTTGAAATTACCAAAACGCCGAGCTATCTTAAATATTTCATTGAATAAAGTGACTTTTTTTGTAATATAAAAAGAGAGAAAAAGTTCAACATTCCAAAAAACTTTCACAATGTAATTTCGAAACCATTTAGTTGCAAATAAAATGATCTACAATCTTTAAACACGAACAATGAATATAGGAAGTATACCACATCAGCCGTCCTTTCCATTTGTGTTTCTCTTTTTTTTTGTTTTTTATATTTACAATTTAATAATACAGTCGTTAAAGCTGACCACTTGTTTTCTTTTCCTATTTATAATTTTACAACTTTTTGTGTAAAAGGTTCTCCCGCATAGCAAATAGTTTAGGAAATAAACAAGTGTATCACATTACCCTCCTTTCGTCTACTTTTGAGTTTGACTTTTCAACAGGTGGCAACTCTCATATATGTAATTTAGAAATGAAGCCTTTTCCAAACCGTGTTCATTGATATCCACATTGTAGTAATTTATTTAACTTATTAAGGAATTCGAATTTATCTTTTTAAACAGGTGGCAACCCTCTTCACAATATTTCGTTAAACTAAAATCTGCTTAAACTTCTAACGCAGACACTCACCTTATGATATATATGTACGTATTTCAATTACCTAATTCATTTAGTTCAGTTTGAATTTGATTTTTGTTAACAGCTGGCAACCCTCCAAAATGTAGTTTTGATATGCAAAATTTTTTTAAGCTTTTTAGTAGTCGATTCTTTGCTTAGTTTGTTTTCCACAAATATTAGGGGAAACTGTTTTCTTATTTGTAGTGTACGCCACAAACTAAGTATCGAAAATTTCGTAAATTTTTATTTTTATTTAAAATTCTGCAAACATTTACAAGAAAACTTTTTCTTACCTTCGACACTTTAAGTTCGCTTATTTTGGTATATTTTCTTTAAGGTTTTATTTTTTATTGTGGAATTTTTGAAATGCATAAAGTAGAGAAGCAAAACAAGAAGAGCTGTATAAATTGTTTAACCTTTCAGGAAAGTTACCATTTGTTGAAATAGGTGAAAAACACCTAAAATATGTATGACATTTTCAATCTAAGTAACATCGGTATATTTTTGTAATAAGTAACATTGGCTTTAAAGTTTGCTATCTGAAGACTCCAGATCCTAAGTAAACATCAATATTTTGCAAAGATATTTAAGATTTGTCCAAGTGTTGGTGTCTGCTGTATTGTAAATTTTTATTTTTATTTTTTGCAACATAAACTTTTTTCTATTTGGTCCAGCTCGCGACACTGTGCAGCGCAATTTGAAGCTATGCATTAGTTATCTATTATCCCACCATAAGTCATTTTTCTTGTGGAAAATCTTATCGAAGCAGAATCATTTTAAACACACAAGACGAATCGTGTATGAAAAGGGTCTTACTAGCGGGTGGGGGTTTCTTGATTACTTGCTTTTTTGATTGTTATCGCTAAGCATAACTACTGAATTACTTCCGAAAAAATTGTTACAGAAATCGGCTAAATTCGCTGATGGGAATATTGATTATTAATATCTCAATACACCAAGTTGCGTGCATTGTGCGTGAAAAAAATTTAGCCCTCCTATGATACCTCTTCGTTGCCATTTTTGAATACTGAATTATTTTAATATGGTTAGCCGTAAAACGGTGTACCAGCGATAAGATCCTGAAGGTAGTCTTGCTATTGCGCTAAAGCGATAAGGTAAAAGAAAATGGAGAGATAACAATATTTCCTTATAAACTCCTAATTAGCTGGTATCCCTTTGATGAACCGAATCGGGCCATAAATACGGGTCTTCGACACTGCGCCACCTATCGAGCAAATTCTTTTGCGGAGTAATTTCGTTTTGTAGGTTCAGCTACTACGCCTTTGTAGCTTCTACTGCAATAAATATCAGCGTCTATTCTAGACGTGCACCTCAACGCGCACAGCTTATGCGAACATATTGCACCGCGGTATGTTTCCGGCAACACTAAATTTGCCGCCTATGCATAGAAATTTCAAACAAATAGGAATAAACGCATGACAAAGCAAGTGCACTTGCTTAGAATCAGCTTAATGCAACATACTTCTGTGCTTTAGTTTCCATTTTACCCATAAATGCACATTTATCAACAATTCCGAACTTGTTGCAAGTGTACGAGAGCGACGGCTATAATTGGCTTTGTCAGTGGCGCGCGAAATTACCATATTTTTTTTATTGTTTTTTTATTTTTCCTACTTCATTTACAATTGCCATTTAAAAATTTCAAGGAATTTGTTAGCTTGTTACTCGCTGCTTTTGCTACTGTCGTTCAATTTTCGCTTTCGCGCGCATTCGCAACACTTTCCATTTGTTGCTGTTGCTTTCGCTGTTTTAACCATTGTTGGCGAAAAGCGAAATTGAAATAGTTGGTTGGGCGAGTTGCAATTAATGAAAGTTGCAGCAGGAAATCAAGAGAGCAGACACAGACATCAGTGACAGCGATAAATAAGTGAAGAAAAATAAAATTCAAAATATTGTTTAGCCACCTATAGAGATCGATTTGCCAAGCCGCGCGGCAGCCACATTGCCCAAGCAACATCTAGCGCGTTTGAGCGAAAATCAAAAATCTTAACAAAAATCGGCAAAGGAAGTGTGGTAGCAGATAAATGCGCTACAAACACAAATAGAACATAACAACAATGCAACAAATAATCAATAAAAAAAAAGTGCAGCGCACTTGCGCAGGTCAGCGCGGTGGCACCGCCAATGCTTGATTAGCTGTGTTAGTATGGCAGCACGCAAGCGATCGATTGCATTTAATTGCGAATGTTACAAAAGTAATAACAACAAGGACCTGAAAGCAAAAAAAAAACAGCAATCGAAAAGACAGCCGTAGCAAAGGCACACAATAAATGAATGAAATCGATGAAATCACAGAAATCAAAGGCGGCGTAGATCGTGCGCTAGCTGCAGACTGTTGGCAAAAAAAAATAACGAAAATCTTAGCAAAATCTTGCAGCGCACAGACAGGCAATTGCAAAAAACGCAAAAAAAAAAACGAATGGCAAGTGCAGCAACAACAAATTAGCAGTCTCTTCACTTGGTCAATTGGCGCGCTTGCATATGTTTGCCGCGTTGCAAGGCGTCGCACCACGCCGCTCCGCGCCACACTACACAACTTTGCTATTTAATGCCTTGAGGGCATTGTGGCAACAGGTAGCAGATGTCGGTGGTAGTAGCAACACCAGCATGCCACCAGTGGCAAGTGCCAGCCAAAGCAACTGGGTAAGTGTGTTGGAGCTGCAGCCGTTGCAGATCGCTGGCAACAAAATCTATCGACCTGGCCACTTTCAGCGCAAATGACAGCAGCAGCAACGAAAGCGACAGCAGGCGGCAGCCGCATTTAAGTGATTAATTCGTTTTGGCCAGCAGGAAAATTAATTTGCAATGAAAGAAGATTTCGCTTTTTCTTCCCCGCTAACTTGTTTCGTTTGCTTGCGCGCGCGCGTCTAAGCGCGTTAGACGACTTTGCGCCTTTGCTGGGGGCTAAAGTGGCGGAAGTGCCGGCAACAAGACGCGTTTTGGGGGATACGAAAATGGGAAAGCACAAAAAACTTAACTCGAATATATTTTGATTGCAAGTGACGGTAGGTGTATTTTTTCTTTGTGTCGCTCTTTTTTCATTGCCTATTGCCCGAGTAATTTGCATTGTTGTTGCAATATTTTTACATCCACAATTTACACTTTTATTGCCCTGTTTTTTATTATTAAACTGCTGTGCTAATTGAATTTTTTACTGATTTAAATTTGTAGTTAACGATTTTTAATTAATGTTAGGGGTATTCACCAAATTGAGCAAGTGACCTGGCACGCGGACAAACGAGCTGATTTGCTCAAACCAACGAATGTTGTCAAAGCTCTTTTGCCCAAGTGACAGGTCACTTGCTCAGTTCGGTGAATACAATGACAATTAAAATTGTGTTTCTGGGTTTACGGTTCAATTTATGTTAAATCCCACTTTCGCCAAACTTGGAAAACTGTCGCATATGGCTTACCATTATTACCAAACCAAAACCTCACGAAACATGTGGCCAAATATAGTAGTAAAACTACGTATTTAGTTCTTTCCTCTGACATCCGGATTTCTGTTTTAAAGGACTTTGAAATATCAAAGGTACGATTAATTAAAAATTTATTAAAAAAATGGGTACAGTGT